AAGTGCTTAGCACAGTGCCTGGCTCACATTTAGTGGACACATTTAGGCTGCCATGATTTCCACGCGGCACGAATAGGAGAATAGGAGGTAAGTTTAGCCTATTGCAGTGTTCTCCTAGCATCTGTCGTGTTTCTCATTTATGATTTGGCTCTGGGCGGTTCATCCTGGTGGTGACTTAAGTGAACAGCCCCCGATACGGTACGGGGCTTCGGGCTGGTTCGGGTCTACCTGCGCCAGCTCTGCACCTGGGCGACCTTGGCTTAGCCCACACGGATGACTCAATCGGCCAGGCGTCTGGGCGCCTGTCCTCTTCCTCCGCCCAGGCCGCCGACCCCCTGGCTCCCCAGCGGGGCCTCCTCCTGCCACGTGACGCCCCCGCCAGGGGCCCCAGCGCCCTCCTCGCGGACGCGCCGTTCCGGCTCCCGGGCTCCGCCTGTGCGCGGCCTCCTCGGCGCAGCCATCCTCGCGGCTGCCGAGGGCGGCAAAGCCCACGGCAACTGCCATTTGTCATTCAGCCCGTCGGTACCGCCCCGAGCCTTGATTTAGACACGTCTGGGGCGGATTCTGGCCTCACTCTCCTGGCGGACAGACGGACGGACGGACGGGGCGGCTCTCCTCCCAGCCCGGCGGACCGCGGGCCTTGGCGCGCGGGGCGCTTCCCCGGGTCGCCGTCATGGCCGCGGAGGCGGCGCGCCCGAGCTGCCGCGCCTGAGTTCCGGGGGGCTCCGGACCCCGCAGGGTAGGTGTAGGGGGCTCGCGGCCGCGCTCGGGGGCCGTGAGGCCGCGGCCGGCCTGGGGACGGCGGGGTGGCGGCGTTGCCGCGGAGCGAGGACCGCGCTGGGCTCCGTGCCGCGCTCGGGAGGGTGTGCCGGTGCCGACGCGCCGTGTACGTGACGGGGTCCGGGGCTCCTCGGGACGAAGTGTGAAACTCTGACGAATTGTCACCGGTCAAGCCAAGTCGGCTCGAACAACAAATTCTTTCGCCTGGTCGTTTTTAATGCCACTTTTTGAAGCGCTCGCGTATAGTTGGTATGCGGTAAATAGACCTCGGTTTTTGAAACCTGGCAATCTAACCTTGCTAAAAGGCCAGGAAAAAAGTCTGTGAAAAGTAATAATGTGACTAAACATGAAATGTTTGCGTTTACATTCATTATGGAAAATGTGACTCGTTTTATGCTTTAGTATTAGGGACCCTATCAGGTATGCTCTTAAGACTGTTTTAAAATGTGGGCTCTTAAAATTTTCCTAGGATAACTGATAATGCAACTTTGGTTATTTAGTCTCAGCATCAAACTTTAGGGGCAGTGCTGGGGGTTTTTTACTTCTTAATAAACATACTCCTGTAATTTGGACTTTTTTTTCCCCCAACAAATGTGTTACTTTTATGTTTTAGGAAACCAATAAAAATTAAAAATAGAAACACTCAGCTTAGGTCCTCCTTCTTCCAGGAATCCTTCTCTAACCCCTCCCTCCCCAGGCAGGATCGGAGGCCCCTCCTGTGAGCTTTCTGGGGCCTCACTGAGGTCCTGGTCCCTTATGTCCTCCCCCCCGCCCCCCCCCCCACCACTGTGTATTAACCCATCAGTCTCGCTCGGAGCCCAGTGGATACTTAGCACATGGTAAGTGATTAATACTGTTTAACGACCAAAGGAAAAGATAAAACGAGCTGATGTTTCACAGTTTTTAGCTCTAAAGTTATAGAGTGGTAAATTAGATAAGAACATTTACTTAAAGTTAAGGATCTAGAAAAGTTGACAACATCCGACGTCCGTGCTGCATGTCCTAGCAGTTCCACTCCTGGGTATTTATCCTGTAGCATGATGTTTTTCAAAGCTTGAAGCCCATTTAGTGGGTCGTGAAATCAGTTAAGTGGATAAGGATCAGAATTTGTAAAACACGAACTAACAGAATAGAAAATATCAGAATGTGTCTCAGGTCATAGGGTATTTGCTTCATGAAACTTTTCTTTTTTCTTTTTTTCCCTCAGTTTTATACACACACAGATGTGTGTCATGATGTAAAACGTCATTCCTCAGTATGAGTCATGGGCAAAAAAGTTTGAAAGCCACTGCCCTAGATAAATTTTCATACATATACAAAAGCAGACGTGTACAAGAGGGTTTACTATAGTGTTATTTGTAAAACCCCAAAGCTGGAAGCGACCTTCATGTCCATCTGAAGGAGGAAGATAAATTATACTGCAGTCATAAAATGGAACCCACCCAGCACAGTGGTGAATGAAGTAGTTTTGTGTCTTAACACAAATGCGTCTCGATAATGTTGAGCCAAAAAAAAAAAAAAAAAACAAGTTGCTGAAGACTATCATCTGTGTGAAATTCAGAACCTGGTGAAATAAAGCTGTTGTTAGGGGTGCATGCGTAGGCATTAAAAATAGTAAAGAAAAATTGTAAAGAAATTAATACCATAAAAATCAAGTTAGTGGTCACCTCCTGGGGATGAAGAGGGGGAATATGAATGTGAAGGGACACACTGCAAGGTTTTGGGATGCTGAAAATGCCTTTATCTCCTGACCTGGGCAGTGGTGACATGGGTGTTTGCTTTATAACTCTCTGTTAAATGCTACATATAATGTCTGTATATTAAATTTCCCCCAAAGTATATTAAAATATGGGTGTCACAAAATGAAGCTGTCCAGCTTTTCTTTAAAAAAAAGAAAAGTCATGATCAGGAAGAGGTACCTAGGGAATTTAAATAATATCAAAACTCTGTTGTGGATGCATCAGTGTTCATTAACTTTTTTTTTAAATCTTTAATTATTTTTTTAATATTTAGAAGAAAATAAAAATCACTCACAGATAATACTGTGAACATTTTACTGCACTTGCTTTCTGAAAAGCGACTTTTACGTATTTTTTACAAAATTGAAATTGTTTCATATAGAATATAAGCTAAAATCAAATTCTTTATAAAAAAATTAATTACTGAAAAGTATATAAAACATAACAGACCTTCATTGACCTTCATCAAGGAGTTTAAAATGCTAACCTAACATGCTGTTATATTTACTTCAACAATTTCAGTTCCTCAGTCACTCTAGGCCACATTTCAAGTGCTCAGTAGCTGCATGTGACTAGTGGCTCTTATATTTTATTATGCTGTATTATTTTATATTGTGCTATATTATATAACAATATTTGCATCATTGCAGAAATTTCTATCAGAAAACATTGTTCAAGTTACAAACCCTTTGTTGGTTATATAAACTGCAGGCAATATTTTCTTTGTGCTTTTGTGTCTTAAGATGTTCTTTACTATTAAGGAAATATATTTTGAAAACTTTTTCTAAAAGTTTTAAAGTTTGCATTTTTTACATTTAGTTCTTTAATTTGCCTGACATGTATATGTATATATAGGTGAACATATTTTATTTATGCAATGAGATCAAGATTAATGTGTTTGCTTTTTCCCATGTGGTAATTGTCCCAGTACCAGAGATTTGCAGTGCCACCTCTGTCATATAATATTCCCAGAAATCCTTGGGCTCATTTCTGGATTCTGTACTCTGGTCATTGATTTGTCTCTTTCTGCAAATACTACCAATTTTTATTTTCTTTTGTTTTATATGTAGTATATTTTTCAGTTCTAAGAATTAAAAAATTTTTTCATTATAATTTTTTTTCTTATCCTCTGAGATTTTTAGAAGTATTTTCTAGTTCCAAATGTGGAAAGTTTTATGAGTTATCCTTTTGTTATTGATTTTTTAACTTGCAGTGTAGTCAGCAAATGAGGGTTCTATGCTACTGATTCTTTGAAATTTAAGAATTGCTTTACGGCCTCATGGTTAGCTTTTCAACTGCTCCTTGAATGATTGAGAAGAATATATATTCACAGACTTTTGGGGCAAGGTAGGTATATGTCTTAGATCAAGCATAAATACTGTGAGGTTCAAATCTTTTTTAACCTTACCAATTTTTTGGTTTCTTTGATCTGTCAATTACTGAGATTGGTGTAATAAAAATATCACAGTAAAATAATGAATTTTCTCAATTTCTTCTTATAGTTCTGTCAACTTTGCTTTATAAAAGTTGAAAGTACATACAAGTTTGGAATTGCTCTTTCTTCTCTGTGCATTGGACCTTTTGTCATTCTATAGTGACGCCTCCTCACCCAAATGCCTGTTAACCTTAAAATCCATTTTGTTTTATAATCTCCTAGTCACACCTTTCCCTTAGTTAGCATTTGCTTAGAATATTTCTTTCAAATAGGTAAAACCTCATAGTTTTTTCTAATCCACTCTGACAATTTGTCCTTTAACTGGGTCTATCAGTCCAATTAAGTTTAGTGTAATTACTGATATATTTAGGATGAAAGTTAGCATTACCTTTTAGGGTTGTTTTTATCCTGTCTTACTGGTTTTTTCCTCTTCTTTGCCACCTTTTGGTTTTTTTCTTATTCCATTTTCCTTCCTCTTGACTAGTATGAAGGTTACAAATTTATTTCTTTTAGTGGTTTCTTTCAAAATTTTAATATACTAACTTAATATAAAGTTTATTAATTCTTGTTTTTTTTTAAAATCCTTGTTTTGAATAATTCAAGAAGCATGAGTTGCCTTGACACCAGTTAATCTCCCAGCTTAAATGTTGTTGTCTTCCAGAGTTTAGTTCCATTTTGATTTTTTTTCCTATAAATTTGACATCACTGTTTTTTCTTTTCATGAATTCTTTGCCATTCCTCCTTGCATCTCAGATCTTTCTTTTCTTCTTCCTCAAATATATATTTTACAAGCTTGTTTATTAAGGGACTGTTGATGGCAAATGTTATCTGAAAATGTCTTTATTTTGCATTCATTCTTGAATGATGATTTTTTTAGACATATAGTTCCAGGTTGGCAGTATCTTTCTCAGCCCTTTGGAGGTGACATTCCATTGACTTCTACTTTCAATGTTAGAATTAGTTCAAATAACTGTTACTGGTTGGTAATTTGTCTTTTTTTTTTTTTGCCTGATTTTAAGATCTTCTCTTTCTTTTGTTTTCTACAGTTTTATGACAGAGCGTGTCTAGATGTGGATATTTCATTTATCCTGGATTTATTGTGTTCCTGTCTCTAAGGTTTGTTTTTCATCAGTTCTCGAAAGTTTTATCTTTTATGTCTTTCAATGTTGCTTGTCCTCCATTTTTCCCATTCTTTCCTTTAAGAACTCTGATTAGACTTCTGTTAGACTTTGTCATTCTGTCGTCCATGTCTTTTAATCTCGCTTTTATATATTATACATATTTTTGACCTTGTTGAATTGTAGATAATTTCTTCAGATCTGTATTCTCATCTTTGTCTAATTTTTTTCTTCTTCAGATTGAACTATAATTTAAAAACAATGAAGACATAAGAATAAAATGTATGGCTTGATGAAATTTACATATGTATATGCCTGTGTGATCACCACCCAGATAAAGAAACAGAACATTTTCATCCCTGCAAAAGTTCCCTCCTGTCTCTATCCATAGAGCCCTTCCTCTCCCCTAGTCAACTATTCTCACTTCTATCACCATAGATTATTTTCACGGGTTCTTGAACTTCATATAAATAGAATCATATAGTTTATTCTTTCTATATTTCTTTTCTTTTGTTCATGCACATTGCATGTATAAGTTGCAAGGGATGACAAACTGTGGGCCAATTCCAGCCCATAACATATTTTCATATATGAAATTTTATTGTATATAGCCATGTCCATTCAGCAGAGTTGGGTAGTTATAACAGAGACCATATGGCCCATAAAGCCTGAACTATATATTATATGACCCTTTACAGAAAAAGGTTAGTGATGTATCTTCTATAGTATTGCATTATAAGGATATACCACAATTTATCCTTTTTTCTTGTTGATAAGCATGGGAGTTGTTTTCAGGTTTTGGCCATTATAAATAAAATTACTATATATGTTCTTGAAACTGCCATTGGTGAATGTATATACTCATATCTCTTGGATATATACCAAGGAGCTGAATTGATGGTCTTTGGGTAAGTTGATTGCATTTCCATGAATATTAATAATGTTGAACATCCTTTTATATCTTTTTTGGCCATTCAGATTTCTCTTATGAAGTGTCTATGTAAATCTTTTGGCCACTTTTTAAAATTAGGCTATCTTTTTGTTAGTGATTTTTAGTTCCTTATGTATTTTGAATAGGAAACCTTTATCAGATACATGTTTGCAAGTATTTTCTACCTGTCTGAATTTGCCTACTTAGTCTGTTAATAATGCCTTTGGATGAACAGATTTGTTTTTATGAACAGTCTATCAGTGTTTTTTTGGGGGGGGGGGGGGGGGGGGGGGGGGGGGGGGAAGGTTAGTGCTTTTTTGTACCCTGCCCACAGAATTCTCTTCCACCTTCATTGTTGCCCTCCATCAAGGTCCTGAAGACATTTGCTTATTGTTTTCCATCAGAAGCCTTATAGTTTTAGTCCTCACAGTTGGGTCTTTGATTTATCTACAGTTGATTTTGTGAGGCAGGGGTCAGTATTTATTTTCCAGGTGGTCATCTAGCTACTCTACACATTTATTGAAAAGATTTTACTTTTTCCATCGAATTGCAGTGGGACCTTTGTTAAAAATGAATGATCATATATTTGGGTCTGTTCTGGACTCTAATCTGTTCCACTTAAACTATTTATCAATTCTTTCATCGGTACTGCACTTTCTTAATTACCATAGTTTATACTAAGTCTTGACATATAGTACTGTAAACCCTCCAGTTTTGGTCTTCTTAAGGATTGTTTTAGCTATTTAAGTGCTGTGCATTTCCATGCACATTTTAGAATGAGCTTGTCAACATCTATTTAAAGAAAAAGTCTACCAGACTTTTGATTGGGATTGCATTGACTCTGTAGAACAACTTTAGGAGAATGGACATCTTAATAGAATCGTCCAATTTATGAACATGGTAAATCTCTTAATTGAATAAGTTCTTCAGTTATTCTTAGCACTGTTTTATGTTTTTCACTGTGGAGGACTTACACACTATTAAATTTATTTCTAGCCACTTGAGTTTTTTGATACTATTGTAAATGGTATCTTTTTTTCAATTTTATATTCCAACCATCTTGCTAGTATATAGAAATGTAATTGATTTTTGTATATTGAGCTTGTATTTAGTGACTGTGCTAAATTCACTTTTCAGTTCTGGTAGTTTGTAGATCTTTCTAGAGCTACAATCATGTCATCTGTTTAAAAAAAAAGATTAAATTTGTCTTTCTAATTTCTATTCATTTTTTTTCTTGCCTTATTGCACTGGCTGGAAACACTGGAACAGTATTTAACAAAAGTGTTAAAATGGACATCCTTACTTTTTCCTGATCTTAAGGGAGAATATTTCACTTTTAAGGATGATGTTTACTGTACATTTTTGTAGATGCTCTTACCAGATGGAGAAATTTTTCTATTTCTGGTTTACTGAAATTTGTTTTCACAAGTGTGTGTCAAAATTTAAAACTTTTAATTATGAAATAATTTTAGATTTACAAAAGAGTTGCAAAGGTAGTATAGAGTGTTCCTATATATGCTTCACCTAGCTTCCTCTGATGTTAACATTTTACATAACCATGATGCATTTGTCAAAATTAAGAAATTAACATTGGCGCAATACTATTAACTATAGACTTTATTCAGATTTCCCCAGTTTTCCCACCAATGTTCTTTTTCTGTTCCAGGACATAATCCATATACCACATTACATTTCCTTGTCACGTAATCTACTCTAATCCGTGACAGTTTTTAAGTCTTTTCTTGTTTTTTGATACCTTGCCACTTTTGAAGAGTAATGGCCATGTATTTTATACAGTGTCCCTCAATTTGGGTTTGTCTGATGTTTTCTCACAATTAGACTGAGGTTATGGACTTTGAAGGAAGAATACCACAGAGATGTTGTGTCATTGCATCATATCTGGCGGCACATGATATCCATATCAACACATTAACCTTGATTACACAGTTTAGGTAGTGTCTGCCAGACTTATCCATTGTAACAGTTCTGTTTTTCGTTTTTCACATTCAAGGGAAGGAGAGGGAAAAATATCAAATGATTTGTGAGTATATATTAAAACTACCATAATAGTTAATAAATATTCTGAGGGATTTATTTTGAGGTTGTGCAAATGTCCTGTTTCTCCTTAAAGTTTTGCTCATTAATTTTAGCATTCAACTGACCTTGCCTGTAGCAGTTATTATTGTGGTATTCTAGTGGTGATTTCCATTTCTTTTATTCTTTCTTTGTTTATTAACTGGAATTCTGACTCGGGAACCAGCCTGCCTGAGTTCAGTTCCTAGTTCTGCCCCTTCCTTGCTACAGTGTAATATTGGACAATTACTTAACTTCCCTATATTTCAAATTTCTCATCTATAAAATGTAGATAACAAGTGTCTACCATAGAAGGTTGCTGAGAGGATTAAAAGAACTAATATGTAGAAAGGGCTAAGAATTGTGCTTAGTGCCTAGGAAGTACTCATTTTTTTCTTTATTTCTTAATGTGGTAAGTTATTCTAATTATTTTCATAATTATACAAGTTATCTTATTATGAAATCATCTTGTACTCTTGGATAAAACTTACATATATGACCTGGATTTAATTTACTCTTTAATTTTTTTCATGTAATATTCATGAGTCATACAGCAGGTGTTCTTTTGCCACAGCAGAGGACACAATGAATGATAGATTCCTAAAAATATATATATAAATTACACATAGGGCTTAGCAACTGAGGTGGCAACATTCCTAACTTTCTAGAGCAATTTCTATCTGACTCTTTTGGTAAAGCTAGAGATAGAGATAGCTTTTGCAAATGAATCTTTTTAAATATTAAATTGAGCAAATTCAAAACTTGGCATATATTGTGAAAAATGGCCACTCAGCAGGAAGGAAAAATGATTTTTAACTTTCCTACATGTTTTACCTTGAACATTGTATTATCGTAGAGGTTTCAATGTTTGGAATATTTAAAAGGATTCATTTGCCAACAGTATGTATTGAGCACTTTCAATGTGCTAGGCAATGTGTTTTTCTAGTTTGGGATACGGTTTTTGCTCTTGGGGGAGCTTATGGGACAGTCAAGATCATTTTAAAAGTTGAAGTTAGGCCTACTTGAATCATTCAGGGAAACTCAATTTCTGTTACTTTTTAAGAAGTTGATAAAATTGAATTCTAATATCTTTGTTTTTCCCACTCCTCTCAGCATCTTGGATTAGGTCCTTATCATTCTATGCTATTTCCACCCATATTGAGATTTTCCTTCCCTTCCTATCATGTGTAATGACCACTGGGGTCATTTCCCTGGAAAGAATTCTTCAGTGACATCCCAGGATTTGAGAAAACAGGTCATTGACTTCTTAACCTGACAGTGGTCATTTTTCTATCTAGTCCCAAGTGGCTTTACTAGCCTTATAGTCTTACTCCTCAGAATTAGTCCAGCGGCACAAGTGGTCTTAACTACTCATTAGAACCTGAAGTCAGTGCACTGTTTTTGAGGCTATGCTTTTTCTTGCCAGGAAATGCTCTTGGCAGGCTATGCTTGTTCATGCCATTTCCTCTGTCTTAAGTGAATTTCCCAAAAATCTTCTAGGCTCTGTTCAGAGAATACTCACTCCACAATCCTACTAGCTAGATAGGAACCCTGTAATTTGTAATCTATAGCACTTGTTAAAATATTTCCTTCATCACCAATCTATATCTAAATGTCACTTCCAGTTGGTCAGGTTCTTAGAGATGGGGTTCCAGTACTTGCCATGATACTTTGCATACAAAGAGCTATTGCTAAATAGCTACCACTCTTAAAATACCTGCTGTAATCGTGCAACAATTTTGCAAAGTGTTATTGTCTCTCTTTTAAGTTGTGAAGAAACTCAGTATCAAAGAGATTAAGAAACTTGCCCAACACCAGTATAGTTAGTAAGTGGCAAAACTGGTCTGTCTGATTCAAAAGCTCTTGCGATTTCTTGTATGTCATCCCACCTTGGTACTAAAAATAAATAGTTAAATAAAATTATTAAACAGATGTATTTTTGGTGAAACACATCATTGAAATTGCTTCACTTACATTACCAATATGCTACTTGG